CGTTCGGGCGGATGTCGCGACCCCTTCAATTTGAGGTTGAATTTTAATTTTGAGGGTATTTACATGAATCTCCTGGAATATTTTCAAACAATTGGCTCCAACGATTTTGGTTAAATTTTGTTGACGGATAGTGTAAAGGACGTTTAAGAAAATGGTGCAGATCTCATTTTCGTTTTAAAAAAATCTGATTTTTTTCCAAAATTGCAAAAATTCAAAAATTTTTGGCACCTTCCTACAACTGCAATTTTCAAGATTAAAATTTTTGTTTTTAATGGAATGTGTTCCTTAAAGATATATCTTGAAATTAGGAATGTTTTAGTAAAATTTTGTTCAGAACAACTTTTCGAAAATTTGAGTACTTTCCCCCTAATTTTGCGTGAACGTACGTGCTGTTTCGAAAGGCCCCTAGGTGACAAAGTGCGTTCCTCTGTGTTGCAGGCGTCGCTGGTGACGCTGGCGATGCCCGAGGCGGCGCTGCAGGACCCGTCGGCGCTGCAGGCGGCGGCGGAGGCCGCGGCGGAGGCGGTGGAGGGCGCCGAGGCGGAGGCTCGCGGGTTCGCGCCGCGCGACCAGCCGGCGTCGGCCGCCGAGGTGGCGCGCGCCGTGTACGCCGAGTGCGTGTCGCGGGGCTCGCTCGCGTGCGTCAAGCCGCGCGTGCTCGCCTTCCTGAGCGCCGCCGCGCGCCAGGACGTCATCCCCATCACGCGCGACCTGCTCATCGAGCGCACGGCGCGCGCCTACGACGCCCCGGTGAGTCTAAAAAGTCCCTTCTGCGCCTTCGGTGGAGCTACGTTTCGGGCGTGTTGTCCGGTCATTCTCGTGAAGGTCCCACCATTTCTGCCTATAAATTACCACATACTCACATGTTTGTACTGTTATATCTTTTTGCTGCAATATTCGTCAGTGCAAAACTCTTCAGGACTGACTTTACTGTCCCCCCTGCCACGTTTTGAGTAGGCGACTTTGCTCTGCAATTAGTATTCAAATAATAATAATAATAATAATAATAATAATAATAATAATATATTTATTGAACCGAGAAATACGTGCTCCATTTACACAGAATTTAATACTTTTTAATTATAAGAATATAATTTTATATTTGGGACAAGGTAATTTCGTTCCTTACTTATTTTGATTGATTCTCAATTAATGGAAGATGAGAGAGAGATGAGATTGAGATCAAGAAGTGTAATTAATATATTCCAAAGAAATTTCATATTATCTTGTAACAGAAACTGAAAATTTCCTACGCAAAATTCAGTTTACAATTTCTAATAGGTCAATGAAATATGCATTACTTTTAAATATAACAATATGACTCGTTTTTTATAGTTCAGCAGAGTTTCATATAGAGCGGTGAAACGTTAATGATTGTTTCAATATTCATTCAGAAAATTAATATTCTGCTTTTTAAACTAAAGGAGGTTATAGTTCTAGGTATAAAATATACTAATGTCGATATTTCAACAGATATTTACATGAAATCGCTTTTCAGATTTCAGGTTCATGTTAGGTGAAAGTCATGTGCACAGTGAAGATGAGACCTCTTAGAATTTCATTTCCATCGTAAAGTGCCCGTCTCAGAATTCTTTAAGGTGTACATCTATAATTTATGTAGCCTATATAGTTTACCACAGCATGCATTTTTGGCTCACGGCATTCGCATACTGTGTAACCATGTATGATACATTACGTAAAATACCATTCTTTGGTATTTTTATCAATATAGACATCGCCACCGCCACCACTTGCACCGCCACCGCCACCACTTGCACCGCCACCGCCACCAACACCACCAACACCACCAACACCACCAACACCACCAACACCACCAACACCACCAACACCACCAACACTTACACCGTTGCCATCATCAGCACATACCTAAGGTAAATTGACATACTACTTATGGAGGATTGTTACAGTTTTTTTAATTAAAAGGATGGCCTTTCGGAAACCGTCGTGGCCTGACTTGGAGAGCTGACACGGGCGTGCGTTGCAGGTGGAGTCGGGGGCCGGCGAGGGCGAGGGCGCGACGGCGGGCGACGTGATGGAGCGCGTGGACGCCTTCCTGCGCACGCACGCCTTGCGCGTGCGCCTGCCGCGCGAGCTGCGCGAGGGCCCGCTGCCGGCGCTGGTGCCGTCTGCGCTGCTGCGCGGCCTGCCCTCCGAGCTGCGCCTGCCGCTCGCCGACGGCCACGCCCACCCCGTCGGACAGGGTGCGTCACGCGCCCCCGCGCCATCAGCTGATGGCACCGCGGTGCCTCGCACGGGGAGGTCCTACATTCCATTCCCTCAGGTGGCAGGGTTTTAGACACGTAGCTAGGTCGAATTCAGTCGCTGTCTGGAGGAGAAGTTCTAGCAGCCGGCTGCTCTGATCGGTAGTTTTCCGTGGTGTCTACGATCAACAGGCGAATGCCGGAGTAGTAACCTAACAAACGGGCTACGCGTGATCTTTTCTTTCTCTTCCTTCACATTTTTTCTAACTGCTTACAGGCAATACCATGCAATAAACTACCACACATGACGGTATATTGGTCGAAAGCTTAGACGTTCTCCCGGTTGTGGGGGGGGCTCTGGTGGGAGATACCCGCTTGGGAAAAAGCTTGCTTACCGATGATAGATCCGCGCAGGAGTTCACTATCCAGCGGGACAATATCACCGCCACTTTCCGAGGAACAAAAACCTGCACTACTCTTACAAAACTAATGACCTTAGCAGTTGACTCTCCAGAAATCAATAACAATCAATGAATCGAGGCAGGGGGTTAAGGTGAGACTGGAAAGTGTGTGAAAAGAGTTAGTTTTCACTTTCTCTTATACTTGTTAAATATTATAAGAAAATTGTTGTAAAGCCGTGGAAAAATATGACTTTCGGCAGAGAAACTCTTATAGTAGGTCTCTGGCGCCAAACATGTGGGCAATTCTTGTACCTAATTTTAGTAACTTCCTTGAAGACGTGTAGGTGGAATCCACGTTTTGTGAGTCCGTGATTCCGAACCATTGGTTTATCTCCAAACATCTGCATATTTGTTAGTCAATCTGTGTGAAATCCTAGCCTAAACCGTTGAGACTACTTTCTCCAAAACTGATATTCCCTCATCGTTCTAGCCGAGCTCGAGGGATTATTCGTATTTTTGTTATCTAGCAAACTCTAGCCGAAGGAAAAGAATGTTAGCTGTGAAACACTTTAATGAACTGACCACGGTATTGTACTAAATGAAATCTTAATGTTTCATCTCCTCAAAAGTCGAGATTGTTGGCATAATGGGGTTGCTTCATTACATTTTACGGTCAGCTGTGCAATCGTATTATGATCCACATGCTTAAGACTTATGGATGACTGATCTCACGGGTTATGTTGAAGAGTAGGTGAGTATTGATTCCGGCTACGTCAACTTACTAGGGTCACTATTCCTATAAGTGTAGTGCATATTGTTTCCCGCGATATGGCTGAAAGCTCCCGCTCGAATCATGAAGTAATCAGAAACGAGATGAAGCACTGCCAGAATGAGTGGCAGGAGAAAGAGGATAACCCAAGAAACGTTTGCCGCGAACATTCTTCTTAGATCACAATATTTCTCATATTTAACGTTTTCTCTGGCTTTGTCCGCAGCAAAACGTTTAAATGTATAAATAAACACAAAATATTTCAAATTTGGTCAGTAAGGTGTTAATTTGAAAACAAGAGACAATAATTTATTTGCTCGGCACGTCTCTTAAACATCTAAGTATGTTTTTTAAGCAGAATTTTCGATCATACTCACATTCTTATAACATAAGATGCCTTGGCATAAGAAACGTTGAGACTATCACGACTGTACCTTGATACAATGGAATAACAAAACGCATTTCCAAATTGCACAGATAACACACATTCACACTATAAGCGACATAGCAAAATAATTTAAAAAGTAATAAGTCAGGAGACTCATTATAAATCCAAATTGATACAATGAAGAACTTTGAACATATTAAATACGAGTATGAACTAGTAATCCTGGTCCTGCATTGATCCAATCCAGGTGTGGTTGTCCATCAATACTTGTTTGAGAAGCTGAAACCATCATTTCAGCTATGTTATCGATGAATCATCCAGTCTTGCGCAGTCTAGAGAATTTTTATCCACCGTGTTGTAATCCACCCAGATTTATCATACAGGATGCAACGCGACACAATGCGGCAGAATTACTGGGCACACACGTGGCGTGGCTTTTTATGCCCATGGCTATACATTATTACGATCAGAACACGTCGCATCGCGTCCTATCTGCTTGTGCCTCAAGCTCGGTACCTCTGCAGTGCCGCTGACTCAGAGGTTTTAGGGTTCAAGTTCCGGTGGCGTATATTGGACAGTAGCTACATAGCTAGGTCGAATTCAACTACTTCCGGGAGGAGAATGCTAGCGGCCGGCTGCTCTGATCGGTAGTTTTCAGTGGTTTCTCCGATCAATACCAGGTGAACGTTGGAGCAGTTATTTAACGAACGAGCCACAGGATGCGCGTGATTTTTTTCCTCTTCTCTACCAGTTCTTCTTTTTTACATACTCACCCACGCATATTTACCTGCACTACCTTACACGTCGGGAGATTAGTCTGCAGATTAGAGCTTGTCCCACCTAAGGAGACACCTAGAGGCGGAAACCCGTGAGCTGACGTGTAGGACAGTGCCAGATTCCACGTTCGACTGTGTGAAGAACACCACTCCTTCAGAGATACAATATGCACTTCACTTGCGGGGTTAATGACCGTACTAGTTGGACGCGCCCACAACCTACAAGAAATCATCCATTCATTCCCCTCCCACCCATTTCCAGACACCCACTCACACCCTCACACCACCTCCCCACCCACTCACACCCTCACACCACCTCCCCACCCACTCACACCCTCACACCACCCACTCACACCCTCACACCCACAGACACACCCACTCAATTCTTCCCATCCATCCATTAATCAATGTAGTGTAAGAGCGCGTGTGCGCCGTTGGTGTTTAGAGCGCGGCTTCCTGAAGAAGATCGTGATGCCTTTCCTGCTGGGGCTCAAGTTCAAAGCGACGGCGCTGGTGCCTCTGGCGCTGGCCCTCATCGCCGTCAAGACGTGGAAGGCGCTCACGCTGGGCCTGCTCTCGCTCGTGCTGTCCGGCGCGCTCGTCATCTTCAAGTTCACCAAGCCCAAGGTGCTCACTGCTCCACACCCCTTCGCCCGACGAGCTTCTAACTTTCTCTTGTCTCTTAGAGTTTTTCTATCAAATTCACCAAGGCAAAGGTTCTCTTTCCCTCAGGTCATTTCTAACAAATTCACCAAGCCCAAGGTGCTCACTGCTCCACACCCCTTCGCCCGACGGGCGTCTAGCTGTACCTCTTCTCTTAGAGCATTTCTATCAAATTCACCAAGGCAAAGGTTCTCTTTCCCTGAGGTCATTTCTCACAAATTCACCAAGCCCAAGGTGCTCACTGCTCCCCACCCCTTCGCCCGACGGGCGCCTAGCTGTACCTCTTCTCTTAGAGCATTTCTATCAAATTCACCAAAGCAAAGGTTCTCTTTCCCTCAGATCATTTCTAAGAAATTCACCAAGCCCAAGGTGCTCGCGTGCTCCCCACCCCTTCGCCCGAGGGGCTTCTAGCTTTCTCTCCTCTCTTAGAGCCTTTCTATCAAATTCACCAAGGCAAATGTTTTCTTTCCCTCAGGTCATTTCTAACAAGTTCACCAAGCCCAAGGTGCTCACTGCTCCACATCCCTTCGCCCGAGGGGCTTCTAACTTTACCTCTTCTCTTAGAGAATTTCTATCAAATTCACCAAGGCAAAGGTTCTCTTTCCCTTAGGTCATTTCTAACAAGTTCACCAAGCCCAAGCTGCTCACGCTCTCGAGCTTCTACACTCCTCATCCAACGTGCTTCTAGATTTCTCTGCTTGCTCTCTGCGTTTCTTTCTATCATATTCAACGAGGCAAAGGTTCTCTTTCCCTCAGGTCATTTCTAACAAATTCATCAAGCCCAAGGTGCTCACTCACTGGCGCAAGTGGTTTTAAATTCACAACGACAGCTGCTCGCTTGCGCTTTTTCTTCTCTCTATTTCTGCCGATCTTTCTCATTGTTTTAATTACTTATTAACTAACTCGATAACCCCAAAGCATTCTCACATTTCTGTTCTCCGCACCTCCTTCCACGCCCTCTTGGGACCCCCTGACATTCACATTGCCAGACTTTTTTTTATTTTCCTTTGGTTTCCCTTTTTGTTCTGTACGTCTTCTGATTATATTCCTTTCCCATCATTTTCCGTCTTCATTTTCTCACTTTGAGATTGTTACAAACAAAATCACACGTCTCGAGATGCACAGTGGTTATGCTGATAACTCCTTTACACAAATTATTTACTTCTCACCTCAACTACTTTCTTTATTTGCATTGTTGCCTCATCTTACTATTAGATTCTCAAGTTATGTCTGACGTGGGTTCCCCAAGCCCACTTTTTGCATTTTATTTCTCTCCGCCGTCTTTTTTCTTCTTCGCAGTTCCCATTCTCTTCGTATGTTTTCTCTGAATGGTACGGAATGTTTCTTCATACAAAGTACAGGATACGCTTTCTTGCATCATACCAACACTACCTTCACTTATTTTTACACACTCTTACTTACAGTTTCATTTAATTATCTTATTCCATTCTGCCTCTCTTGTAATCTTCTTTTATCTTGTATAGGTTCTTATTTTCCCCATGCATCCATTTATATACTTTTCTGCAAGTGTTACCTTTCATTTTTTCAGTTAATTGTCTCTTCGTTAACTCAATATTTAGAAATTTCAAAAGTGTGCATCATTCACAATTTGATCATCTGCTTCCCTTAACACATTTTTTATAAGTCATACTATTTTACTAAACAGAGCTGATCTGATAGACTTCTCAATGTAAAGAAAATAATCTTTATCTTAAAAATCAGCACACACAATTTTAAATGTTCTTCATTGAGAAGCTAGTAGGCTAAATGTAAGAAAATTACATATCCCATACTTTCTTAAGAGCTATAGTTCTATGAGTAAAATACAAATTGATGAAATATACATTTATGCTTAATTTACGAAATATTATAGCGTAGATTTGTCAACATTGTCTTAATATTACATATAACGTTTTATAGTCGAACTATATTTTAGACACTGACGCTTATACGAAGATAACAGAATACGTATCTCTACGTGACAAAACAATAATGTGAGGCAAAATTCACAAATCCGTGGCATGATTCAGGCAATACTTATATCAAGTCGCTAAAACTGACACACTGACCATTTGGGTCACCTTCGTCCGCAAATCTTAACTGCGATTTTAATTAGGGGTAAAACTAGTTCCGCGTGGATTCATTAAACTGCACACACACACATCATTTCACGCCATATCCATACGGAAAGCTAATCTGCGGGCGCGATTTTCCTGCAGGTGGTCAACTACGAGGTGATCCACTACCCGCACGCGCCGCAAGTGGTGGAGCACCCGGTGGCCATGCCCTACGACCACCACAGCTACGGCCGCGCGTTGCCTGACGCCCAGCAGCTGGCGTACAGCGCCTACGCTCGACAGTGAACTAACTCTCCACGCCGCACCCTTCTCATCCATCTCAGGTTCCCGGTCTCAGCGCAGGAGGGCCGCACAAGTCGTAGGAAGCACCAGGAACGCTAGCGCATCCCTTTGGTCACAAACAAATTGTCACCGAGTCTTAACGTCCATTTCATGATGCAACCTCCATCTTCTAAAGCAAGTATCTTGTTCAGGTACTTAAATGTAAAAAAGAATGGAATTTTAATATCCCTGATATCCGTTCCCTTCAAGTACATTTCATCATTCCTGCGTTGAGATTGTGTAAATTATTATTTGTATCATGTTATTTATTTTTGAAAAATAAACCCGACAGTATTTCTATTTATTAAGATGTTTATCTTCTGTATCATTTCAATCAATCCTACCAAATAAAATGGTGTCTAAATGGATTTTCAGAAGTGGATTCGTGAACGGTAAGTCAATATGGAAAATATTTCAATCAGATCAATAATTTGGAATTTACTCTGCTATTAAGTAGTTACCTCAAAATGCAGGTTATATAATAAAACAATATCACATTTTAAATAATATTTCTGCTACCTAAAATATATCAACATGCTGCCAAATTCCAATAACTCAAATACAATTCCAAGAACTTAATAGAAATCTATATTTCTGTGATATTACATAGAAAATTATAATAAAAACTTTCTGAATTTAATTTCACTGAATAAAATAATAAATTACTAATAATAAATAATTACTATTAATAATAAATAATAATTTACAACAATGACAATATCATCACAGAAAATGTTAGGAGTGAATCATGACAATTATTTATGAATTTTCGAAGTAAAAAAAAAATAAAATAAAATAAAAAACGTGGACTATTTCATGCAACTCAAAAAATATCTCTAATATTCAACAATATTATAGTCTCTGATTCACTTTTCCGAAACACCAAAATATACTTTTATATATTTCTCACTTCGTTCAGACACCAATTCGTAATTTAATTATATGCAATCTTAATAACATTTTTAATTAACGCTTCTCTCTTTTCTCCCACATGATTCAATATCACGTTCGCGTTCTGGATACCGTACGTATGTACTGTACACTTACATACATCAAGAATACCGTTGTTCCGTTGATCGCAGGAATTCGAATCCTTTTTGGGAGAAGCTTTGGCATAGCACGCGACTGTTACAGTTACGAGCACATTAGGAGCTGCGTCGTTCGCACATGTTCCCTCCTCACTTTAGGAGAACGACTACTTAGTTATCGACACAATACTCACCCACTTTCACTTGGTCTGGTGACATATAAAACAGTTTCTTACTCTCTGTCTGTATTAGATTCAGGTCATGACAAATCTGGTAGGGGTCAATCCGTGTTGCCATACTACAGCCATTTTTATGAGAGAGAAATGGAATACCCAAGTTTGTATGAAGTAACACAGTTTGGGTGTAATGGATTTAAAAACGCAAAATATTTCCTTTTGTAGACTATATAACAGTAATATAATAATACAAGGCATTCATAATAATAATAATAATAATATAAATATATACAAACATATTGTAGTGCATTTGGAGAGAGCGTTTTCACGGTAAATTGGTTAAACAATGGAATTTAAACACCCACAATTCACAAAAAAGTAGTCTCATCTAGCAACAGAAGTGAAGTAAAACAAAATACGAGTAACTGACTCTCATACACTAGACATGTAACGTCTTTCTTCGAAAAAGAAAAAAACATCTGTAAAGATCTACAAGTCTCTCTCTTCACATGGTCTGAAAAAAAGTGCCTCAAATCTAAAATTTGTTTTAATGATATTCTTCGAAGCTCAATCTCTAAACAAAAGACAGAGCGTCGAAGAACAACGATTTACCAATGTTTAGTGAATTGAACAAAGCATAAACATTTTAACTCTGTTTTCCCAAAGAAAGCATTTCTGGACTTACATTTGTGTTTTTAACCCTGAAATAGGTCTGGGGTGTACAAAAATCTGTGACCAAATAATAAATCGTGAATAAACTGCTCAGCAGTAATATAACAGCATTAAAATAACCATCGTTTGTTCATATAATTGCGGAGAGTTACATACGTTATTTAGATAAACTTATTGTGGTGTGTTTTCTCCACTTGAAATTTCTCACTCTATTAATAATTTTTTAAATGAATATTTCGAACACAACTAAAAACTCGTGATATAAGGTTTCATGTAGCGATAATATCATCAGAGGCGCGCCGATATCACGATTTTCATACATATTATATGATACTATCATCACAATCTCGTTTTAATTTCAAGAGTGGATTAGTCACCCATAAATGAATGGATGCATGAACTAATAATGCGTTATTAAATTAAGAATGTCCACATGCGATTGAGAATGTTCTGTGTGATGGCTTGATTCGAAAAAAATTAAATCAGAACAATCAAATCTGCCAATTTTGGTCACTGAATAAAGAATTGTTAAAATATAATACGTTTTTGCAGAAAACTGATGATGCAAGTGCATATACTTATCGAAGTACACTAAAATAAAATACAAAACACTATGACCCTATAAGATACACTATCAAGTGAATAAAACTGAGTTCAATGAAGACATCTACTCAATACGATGGTACCAAACAAGAAACTAAACAACTTTAAAATTCAATAATTATACACGTTTTTCTACTTCTGTGCCCATGTTACTTAAGTATACTCATGCAGATGATTATATAATATTTCCTAATTGAAGTTATGTTTTATCTTATGTTCCACCATGAAAATTATTTGGCTCTTCAAATGAATCGATTCGATTTTCAAATGAACTGTGAAGGAGGGTAGGATATGAATCGGGTGCGGTTGCGACACGTGGCTGATAGACAGTGGTGCAATCCCACAAGAAAACTGGCTGTAAGTTCTAAGCATAAACATTCTAAAAATAAAATTTGGAGTGTTCTTAAAAACGTATGTGTCCCGTTCGGTCTCCAGCAAGAATCGGGTTACTTACTTCCTTGTTTACTTCCTTAAATTTTAATTTTGTTTACTAACATTATTCAGACCGTTTGTTAAAAAAATCAATAATTTTATAAAATATTATTGGAATGTTTTTAAACGATATAATTTTAAATAATTTCAATAACCACACTCATTATAATGTGTATTTTTATACATTTTCATCATGCAAGATAAGACCACAAAGGATATGGTTTTAACGTTTTTGATTGTTCGTTTGATCACGGTCCAAAGCCTCTAAAAATTTCTCACCCTAACCTACAGGATGTAATCGTTTTGAATATTCTATTACATTAACGCTGGGGGGGGGGTGAACGAACGGAGAGAAAGGAAGATGAAGGGCTGGAAAACCTCTTCCAGGTTGAGCTACTTTATTATATATAACGACCTCTACCTACACACACCACACCAGTTTGTTGGCTGAGGCATCAGCTGTTATCATTGACTGGAAGGTCCTATAGTTCCAGTCCTGACGATAGCGGGATTTTCAACACTAGCTAGATAGCCTATATCTGTCACTAGCAAGACACCACTCCGCTAGTGGGAGATACCTGGTAGGGGAAACTCTCGTAAACCGACACCTAAGTCGGCGACGGATCTCGCGATCCTGCCTGAAAACATCACCGCAGCCTCCTGCGATAAAAACAACATCATACTGTACCAACGACAGTAGCAGTTGACGCGTCCGGAAAAACAAATTTAATTAATTAATTAATTAATTAATTAATTAATACATGCACTACCTATTCCACCCTACACCACTACCCGCGCCGCACCCGGTGAAAGCGAGCGACGGCTCCTCGATTGGCGGCGTCGGCGGCGGCAGGGGCGTCGCGACGCCGCGCGACGCATACAGAGCGCGGGGCCCCGGCCCACTTCCGGCGCCTTGACCTTGCGTCGCCGGCGCGGCGCCGCGACGCCCCGCGACGCGCCCTGAAATCCCGATGCGTCGTCGCCTGTGGCGCCCGCCCGCCCGCGTGCCATCCAGGCCTCCGCCGCCGCCGCCGCCGCTGCGCCTCTCCCGGCGGCGAATGCGGTTAATTGCGCGCCGATAAGCCCCCGCGCGGATCCGGCCCCGCGCCGGCTGGCGACGTATTCGGACGCGCACGGAGGTCGCTTCGGGGAGGTTCACTTCAAAGACCACCTGAGCGGGGATTTCTTTTACAAACATACATTGATTTGTGCACGGAGGTCGCTTCGGGGAGGTTCACCTCAAAGCCCACCTGAGCGGGGATTTCTTTTACAAACATAGATTGATAAGTGTTTCCGGACGCTCAGCTGCTAAAGTCATTGTAGTACACGATTTTATTGCGGGAGCTGGCGGTGTTCTAGTCCCTTTGGATGAAGAGATCCGGCGCCGAACTACCCGACGGCTTGTGGGGTTTTTTTCCGACAAGTATCTCCCACCAGTGGAGAGCCGCCACAATTGAGAATAGCTCTAAGCTACCGACTAATCTCCCAGCATGTGAGGTAGTGTAATGTTTGAAAGGGGGAAACTACAAGCGGACAAGGATAAGGAAGAAATAATCGCGCGCGGTCAGTGGCTCGTTTGTTAGGCCTGGTGTGGATCGGAGATACCGCGTAAAACACCCGATCAGTGCAGCCCACCGCAAGAATGCTCCTCCAGAAGACAGCTAAACTCGACCCAGCGATGCAGCAAGTGTTGAAAATCCTGCTACCGGAACTCGAACCTTAGGATTTCCCGGTCCGAGGCACTGCTGTAACATCACTTGATGACTTCAGCAAGATACTCCGCTTTGTTACAAATAACTACAGCTTATCGACAAATGAAACACATGTGGAATGTGTTCTACAATTAGGGGGAAATGGTTCCAAAAACATTTTCGTGTTAATGTAGTGGAACAAATGCCAATTTGACATGGCCAGTTTTATTCGCGCCCCTTGTTCATTTGCATTTCCACGAAGACGCTCCATACGTCGGCTACCACCTGCACTCTCTGTTTCCTCGCTTGCCCCACAGCATTACTGAACATCTCACTGTCTGAATTCAGCTTAGATCCAAAATTCTATCTACAGCCACTGAGACTTGAAGACCCTAGGGTTTGAGTCCAGACGGTAGTAGGTTTTTGACACTTGCTACGTAGTTAGGATAATTCTACTGGACGGCTGCTCTGATCGATAGGTTTCCGTGATTTTTTCGATCAATACCAGGTGAATGTCAAACCAGTGCCCTAACAAAAGGGCCGTAGACAGCGTACGATCTTTTCTTGCCCTTCTTTGTTGTATTCTCCTGCGTTATCCACACACACTTACTCTTAAACGCGTTGCATTACTCCACATGTCGGAGTTTAGAGCTGGGTGGGGCGGTCCATGTATATACTTTGAAACGACAGCTCTGTATTCTGGACTTCTCAACCTAAGAAGTTAACTTTCTTATCGTCAAACAGCAACAGATACTGGGACATTGTACGGAAAGCGCACGGTTATTATTTTTCCCGAAATTTTACGAAATCAAACTCAGGGTTACGCCGAGGAAAGCGAGCTCTCAAACCAACAAGCCCTCGAGGGCTCCCAGAGGGGACATAACTGGGGGAAACACCCGCAATCCCACGGGAAGTTCGTATCTCACCATCCAGTGTAGGGAGAACATACACTACAATAACGGGACTAGTTAACGTGCCGAAAACATCAATCAAACGACCGGAACAACCAGCGAGGTTATTTGACAAAACCTTGAGCTTATCGATAAATGGATGGCGATGCAAGAAGTTGTAAGTGAAACAATAGCCAACTTCACTCCCATTATTTACCACCTCCGCTCTCTGCTGTCTCGCTCGCCACTCTTCATACCCGAACATCGCAGTCGCTGTCACTCACAAGCGAGTTTTTATAAACAATTAAAGTATATGGATACTTGGAACATATTTAATTACGTTGTTCTAGAGACATTAGTCAATCGACTAACCGTTCTCTGTGAAAATGGCGAGTGCACCTCGTGCTGTTTTCGGGGCCCGCAATCTCATAACTCACGCTCCTGATCTTATCTTCGCTCACACAACCTTCCTGGGGAGAGCCCATCTCCGTGACCGAATTAAGGGTTGGTTAGTCAGCATGCGCGGCGATGCACCACGTAACAACGCCCACGCCTTACGCAAAACTCGCACCCTTTGCCTGTAGATAACAAATACCAGAACGCAAACACCTCAAGCCTCTTCGCCACCCAGGATTCGCATCAGTAGGGTTGATAGGTGACACATTGTTTTTAGAAGAGCCACACCCTGCCACGGCAAAAAATCAACCACGCATGCCTCGGAATTGTGATTCGAACCCGCAACCCTTCGAAACGAGACACCTGTGGCGTGCCTGCCTTACCGACCACGACTACCCAGGTCGACTACAAGAATATTCTTCATTTTCTGTCGGATGAAGCGCTTGTAGGGAATGTGGATCCTGTCCCCGACGTGTCGCCCGTTCGCCGCCACTCGCCGTATTCGGACTCCGCATGGCGCGGAGTTCTGGCATCGAGGAGAGTTCCAATGGCGAAGGTCCGTAGCGCAACCGGATTTACATTCATTGGGCGATTTCAGTCGAAACACGCACGCAGTGAAGGAGTGGTGCAACGGGTGCATTTCCACCTACGGTGATTGGCGTGGCACGGTTATTTAAGAGAGCGAGGGAATTGGCCTCAACTTTGAAGGTATAATCAACGTAAAATCAAGAAAATGCTTCGGAACTTTCTCAGAAATGAATCTAGGTATTTCCATATTGGTAGTTATTTTTAATATTTCTTTTTGATCATGTAGCCTTTAAGCTAGACTATCCTCTCAGCGACCCATCACGATAAATTACAATTATCTCTTCGCTTCCTACTCCCATCACTAAAATATGATGGAACCCTTCGCGTCCCCGAATGTTGGGTATGGCTCGTTAGCCCTTCTCCGTGAATCTCTCGGAGATTGTTGAATTTATGAAGCATCCCAGAAGTCTATCTCAGTGATAGCCGGTTTGGCAGAGGTTATAAATGTCTGGTATGTACACACATATTGCGGCACCAGTGGGGGAGCATAGAGCTTGTGTTGGCTAAGGCTATGCCCCGCAGATGAGAGATACTTGGCTGGGGAAATCTCCACTAACCGACGGTAGGTCGGCGCCGGATCTCACCATACAGGGGAAAGATCACCGACATCCCCGAGAAAAATATACAATGCGCTTACGGGAATAATAAAATTACCAAATCAAGCGCCTGAAACCAAAAATCAATGATTCAGAAAACCAAGAAGAGTCTTTGATCTCTTGATCCCTTTCCAGATCAGTTACAGAAAGAGATATCGGAGAATATTACAGAAGTTATAATTAGTAAACATTCGATGTATGACGTTTAATGTCAATGCTCTAACGAAGAAAGACAACCTAAATTTTATAAGAAATTAAAAACACTTTATTTAACATTGTTGCCTAGCAACAAACACGTTTCGCAAGACGGCATCACAAGGATATTATTGGCCAACTACTCGATTGAGAAACGATATATTATACTTAATAATGGAGTAAAAATAGTTTTGAATTTCTTAGATAAGGCTTTCATTCTAAATCACCTCTCAATTAACAACTAGTTGTCACAGACAAAGTTCTTAAATCTAGTTGAGTAATATTGTATGCTGGGGAGATCAACAAAATATCCGAAATTTAAAAAACATTGAGGTAATAAAGACGGTCGATGTAAGATCTAGATCCACGTGTGCCATCCTTGCGTTCACGGGGTCTGTGACTGGATTCGTCGTGCCTCGGGGAGTTGGCACTAAACTGCGGGTTGGAGGTTTTCACCGTTGGAGGTCCAATCGCTCGGTCAGGTTTGCATGCATTGCGGGGTTTGGTTGAGGCACGCACGACATGCAGGATCTGCTTGAGGATGCATTCCTGCTCCGAAAGAGATGCTTAAAATAGAAGCAATAGGTGAAGTGCCTAAAATTGTAACTCGTAACTTAATCTCGATTAGAAAAGGTCACATCTCCAATTCAGACGAAAAAGAGTAACTTCTCCATTTTATTCGGAATGTTTTTAGCTTCGTTAAATGTGAATATGATACATTCACTGTCGGTTAATGCAATATAAGCAGAAGTGCTTTGTTTACTTTGAGCATGCCACTTCTCAGGAGTTGCAATGATTTTCCAGCTACGTATGAGTGCCGAACAATTAAAGAAGATGTGACCTTTCCTAATAATCGTTTAAAGGTATACGCTGCTTAGTTTGAGAGTGAATAATATTGTGACAAAATCATTTTTTTAAATCGTGGTACTATATAATTGATTAAACGAAAAGTATACTCTCAGTCTCTACAAAGTTTTACTGTTCTGATAATATAACAAAATTGACATACACATAAAAAATCACACTTTTTATCAAATCATTTAACATCGGAAATAAGCAGTTGAATCGCCATTCTTTTGAAACAAAAGGAAAATACGATCACTAAAATATCCACTCTACAGATATGTGCTTTATTGGAGTCACATATGTATATTCACTTTTATTTTTTAAATCAATACCTACTTCCCAAGGTTGGATGGTGTACTACAACACAATGATGATTCACTTGATAATTCAAGTACAAAATATGTCAGTTTTATTGTTAAAATATTTGCAAAAGAATCAGCTTAATAATATTCTTGAAAACAGCTCAGGGAACTGGTGGATCAAAATATTTGAAACGTAAGTTCATTTCACCATCAGTCACAGTAACTGAAATTCATTTACCAATAACCAACAACAGAAAGGGAAAATGAGTATTATACAATGAAGAAAGAAGTGACATTCCTGTTGACTAAATTATTTAAAAAATATTCAAGCGAGACAAATTTTATAATTTTAGTAGGAAAAAATAGAAGGAAAAATAGGAAAAAATTCAAATTCGCGAAAATAACAATCACATGCACGGATATTTTCAAAGAAATCAGTTATGGGAACTCAACTATAATATTATAATTATTTGTTAACTTAATTAATGTAATTATTAACTTAATTATTAATATTATTATTATATTATTATAATTATAATTATTTATAAATTAGCTTCTAAAGATGTCTTTAATTCCCCAAAATCTGACTCCTAAATAGAATCATAGTCGAGAAATCTAAGTTGGTTTCTGATATCATTTCCAAAGTTACGTTCTAATACCACGTCCTTTTAGGGACAAATACGAAAATCTAACATTTCTCATTGAAAGCAACATTACGCAACAGAAGAAAAATAACAACAGAGCCAAGATACACCTAACTCCTCTCTTGTGCCAACTAAACGACGTAACTAGCCCTCATTACGAGCTATGGAATGAGTGGCACGGAGCAGACGGGGCGCCTCTGCCAACTTTATTCCTCCGGGCTCTGTTCGCGTCTCGGCCGCTTGCCCTGGGTTTTGCTTTCGTTGGACGGCCGGCCATCATTCACGGCTGGCACCACACGGGACCACGCGTTTTGTCGGAACCAGAGCCCCTTATGTAATAACGTGCGCCAGGAAAGTCTTTTCGCACAGAGTCAAATCAGAGGCTCCTATTAAATATTGTGTTTATGTGCCTAGCAACCAGATCACTGGGAAACAACTGAAGAGGACAACACTTCCAGCATCTGTTATGATTGTGGTGAGTATGCAATATACGTTTTCATTTGTTACAAGCTACTCTTCGTGTTACCAACTTAATTTATCTTCCTATCACTCTCACCAGCCACTGGTTCCATTGAGGAGAGACTTTCCTGTTGCATCGTACAACTTGAACAAAAATGCATATCTTCCCTTTGAAGAGATCACAGCCCAGCTCTATATCTGAGCACGACTTGTGTATTTGCAGTAACGCTACAACATCAACTGTAAATAAAAATGTTTAAAATTTGGCTTCCATAGATAGGGTTCAATCACAATAGGAATAATGTGACTTAATGAGGCAGTGAATTCTGTGACTCGAAAAATTAAAAATAATTTTGTGACTTCGTCTGGAGGGCTATAGATGAGGACAAGCTCTGAAATACATCAACTATTTAATGTAAGACAATGAATAAATGGCGATATCTCGTAATAATACAAAAAACAAATCTACAAATAATATATTCTCCTTACCGAAAAGAGAACGATAGACATCTCGATAACATTTCATTCAGAGATTCACTCAGTATTTGGTACCGAGTTAAGGCATTTGCAGAGATTCCCAAACCACAAATCTTCGCTAATTCGTGTTCTTTCAAGAACAATCACTGACACTAGACATTTGTAAATCTCACAATTCACTCAACCATAGTCACTAACACTAAGGCATTTGTACATTTCAAAAATGAAATCCAAAAAAATATCCCTTAATGTGGCTTTCGAATCCGAAAAAGCAGACTCAAGGGTATGCCTATTCGCCGACCCCACTGCGGAAGTAGAACATAAAGGCCGGCGGCCACCCGCACCCACATCCGCCCCAGGGCAGCCACCGCCGCCCATATTCGACGCCTGCGCGTCTCCTCGTCGCGGCAATTATTACTCCTCGCCCCTCCCCCTCCCTCCTCACTCAGCACGCGGCGCGACAATGCTTTGACAATGCGTCACGCGCGGACGCCATCGCCACTTCTCCCACCGCTGGGACACCGCTTCCCCCACCGTCAACGCCTCTACCACCCACCCGTCCCCGTCGTCCCGCCGTCCCAC